AGTTAAAACTGGTTTTCTTAATAGTAACGAGTGAACTCACCACTGAAAGTCGTTAGATTATGTTAGAAATTGTGTGATCAATAAAATGTGGGTGGGAAAGGAATGGAAGACAATTGTAGACACCAGAGATAGTGTGAGAAGAGGGTGGGAAAGGACAGAGGGTCAGAAAGAGGGTTAGAAAATTTTGGATAATAATATGCATGATTAAGTCACTATGCAGTATATTATGGATGGGAAATCACATTTTGTGTGCTGTGATGATGCTAAAGGAAAGAATGTAAATTAAGTTACAAAAAAAAAAAAAAGTTTCAGGAAAAAAAAATCGATTCAATGACTGCAGTAAGATATATAGCCCCAGCTAGGTGCTACTTTATAGGATGCATAAAGTTAGACTTGTGTTCATGGAAATGTACATATCACCTGTGTTTGCCATGAAAATATTTAGATTAATTAAGGTCTTTAGTAATTCAATAAAATGTGGGGGGTAAAGAGTATAGAAAGCAAACATAGATACCAGAGTCAGTGTGGGAGGAGAGTGGGAGATGGCAGAGGGTAAGAGAGAGGGAATCAAGGATGGAGGGGAGCAAAACATACAGAAAACAAGAAATGGAAAATTATTTGCTGACAATGACATGTTTGTTGATGTGCTTGATTGAGACAATATACAGTGTATTCTGGATGGAAAATCTCATTTTGTATGCTGTAATGATGTACAGTGAATGATTGCAAATAAATAAATTGAAATATATAAAAAAGAAAAAGAAGTATAATCTAAAGAATTGAAATGACCTGCAGTAAAAATAAATCACTCAGTTAACTATAGTGGCATGAGTATAAAGCTGAGTAAGTCTGGGCTGGATATATTAGTGTACTGATTGAATAAATATATCTTAAAGTTCTCTAGGAAGTTGTTAAACAATTAAGCATTTACTGAGCATGTGATGGCAAGCACTTTGTTCAGACATCAAGCCTACAAAAATATGAGGCTGAGATCTCAGATTGTCGGTTTCTGTCTCCTAAAGGCCCACATTCTACTACAGAAGACATATCACAAAGGGCTAGATGGTGACATAATGGAAAAGGAACTGGACCCACATGGAAAGATCCTAAGTTTGCTTCCTGGAGCCTTCCTGTACACACTGGGCATTCGCGGCTGAGACTGGGTGGGAACGTGGCGTGAAGACCTGTGGAGGGGCACCTGTCTCCCTCTCTGTCTGAAGAAATAAATGAGCTTTTAAAAAAGAAAAGACATGTCATGGATAGAGTAAAATGTAATAAATATAATGATAGAAGACATGCGGGATCCTGTGGGCAGGCATAAGGCCTCAGGGTTACAGGGAGAATGCCTGCACCAAGTCTTAAAGGACAAGAGGGAATCTGTCAATGTGGGAGAGGCAGCAGTAAGGGAGAAACGGGCAGACAGAACAGTATGATGGGGCCTGACAACAGGTCACACTGAGGACAGCAGGAGGCACAGAGGAGCGAGGAGAGAAAAAGCATGATGGAGAATGGCATCAGCCCTTGATGGCCTGTGCACCCGGCAAACAGCTTCTCTCCCTTTGACAAAGGGAAGCCACTGAAAGGTCTTAAGAAATCGGATCTGTGTGTTTGAGTAACTATTCTGGAATCAGAGAGGAAAAATCTGATGAATGGAAAACAGGGAGTCAGGAAGGCCATGTACATGTGAGAGGACAGATAGATCTGAACCCTGTCAGTCTCAGTCAGAATGGAGAGGAAGGGATGGGACCAAAAAACATCTAAGAGAAAGAACGAGGCACTGATGATAGATGGGCTAGCTGGGGACTGAGAGAGAAGACAGATGCATCCCAGTTTCTTGCAGGGTTGAGAAGTGCTGGGTGTGCACCATCTCTCCTCTCTGTGTACACCACTGACAGCTCGATTCAGGTGTAGAACTTTATGTTGGACTCAGAGAGGTTTTCATGACTATTCCTACCGTTAACAGCCTCTGAACATTGACCTGGCCATCTGGTACATGTCCATTCTGTTATCTATGGCTGTGGATAAGCTTCATCCAAAATCTCCATAAGAACAGGAGAGCTCTGGGCCCTGACTGGAACTGTGGACCCAATTCTGGGTACATCTAGATAGCAATCAAAACAGTAAGGAAACAGAGGAAAGTTCTTGAGAAAGCAGAAGCAAAGGGTGGGAGTTTATCATGAAGCAGAGAAGACTCCCAGGTGGCATCATCACTTCCGGGTGGAAGAGCACCCAACCCTTGGTATAACCAGCTCTGTCAGGGACCAGGTCCAGGGCATACACCTACACGTTGGAAAATTTCAATTTAATATGAGGCAGGATTCTTTAACTTGTAGAAATGCCTAGGGGTGAGGTTAGCTGTGCTGGAACGGTGAACTCATTTGCTGAGGCTACTGAGATAAAATACCACAGACAAGGCAAACCACTGAAATATACTCCCCCCCAGGTCCTGAGGCTGAAAATCCAAGTTCTTTTGCAATATCTCTCCTTGACATGTGGATGGTCGCCTTCTCAGAGTGTCTTCACATGTTCTCAATCCTAATTTTTCTTTTCTTTTTTTTCTATAAAATGCAAGCACCTGCCAGAGTAAAATGTGAAAAAGTACCCCCAGGAGGATAGCTATGCTGCAATCCATTCTCCTCGTAGGAGACAGGCACACACATGTATGTGCTGGTGTGTTTCTCGAGGCAGGTTGGAGATTTGAACTGCGTAGGTGGTCATGTGGAATCCAGTTGCCTTGATCTTCATGCCACTGGCCAGTCCCATCCTAATCTCTTTTTTTTTTTTTTTTAAAGGATATCAATCATTAGATTAGGGCCGACCCTAACCTATTTTAACCCAATTATTTTTTTTCTTCGTTAAAAACATTACTTAATCTTATTTATTATTATTATTATTATTTTTTAAATTTGACCAGAGAGAGAGAGAAAGTTAGAAAGTGAGAAAGCAAGCTGCCAGGTCCAGGATTTGAACCATAGCTGGCCATGTGGGAATCCAGCACCTTAACCACCATACCACCTGCTGGCCCCCTAGTTACCTTTTCAAAGATTCTCCCAATATAATCATATCCTTAACTAGAGATTAAGGTTGTAACATATGAATTTTAGGGAGGACACAATTCAGTACATAACACAACCTGCCAATAGGGATGTGTAAAATCAGAGGTCTCGGAGAGTGCCAGTCAGGGAAAGCCGACGTAGAACTGAAACATCAATTTGGGGTGTCCTTGAAGTTCTCTGTACGTCTGGAAGCTACAATTCTAGACAGGGCAAGCCAGCACCTAATCACCGCCATTAAACACTGTGAACACAATAATCTCCCCAGGGTTTCAGACAAAAATTACATTTTCATGGCAGCCTGAATGACGGATAACAATTTTTGTTCTTATTTAACCCTTCCCCAAGGGGATTCACAAGCTGGCAGTGGCCTACATCAGCCAGCAGAATACGAAAGTCGCTCTTACCTATGAAACAGGACTGACTTGACCAAGGTGACGACGTCTCGACTGGCGTTGTATCCGGCACAGACAATAGCCACGTGGATCGTCTGGGAAGAAAAGAAAAGAAGGGAGCAGTCAGACAGACGGAGGCCGTCCTGGGGTTCCAGGGTGCACAGAAAAGGAGAACTACCCTTATTTCTTCTTGGATCATTGGAAAGCAAAGGACATAGTCTGTAGCTGTGGAAAATAACTCACGACAGTTTTATTAAGGCCTTTTTAATCGGTTTATGGAGCTATCATCATTTGGAAATCATTAAGACTTTTCTCAATTACATTTTGAGAATGAGAGAAATGGTGATGGGCTCAAACAGGCAAGCAGCGAGTCCCTGCCCTAGTCGGGAGACGATGATAATGGCTAAAAGAAGCAGCACAGAAAATGAAGCTCTGACCATCGAGGACCTCAGCCTCAGTGTCGAGGAAATGTCTTCGGCTGTCCTGGGTTAGGCTCACCTGATAACAGGGCTCCAGAAGCCAATGAACACCTATGGGCCTTCATGGGATACCTTGGAAGAACTGAAGGTTAGCGGAATTGAACGGGACCTGTAGGTCTGCTCATCTAAGCAGCTGGGGTGTGGGATTCATATGGATCCTGGCTCTGTCCCTTAACCAAGGGTGACCTGCGATGGCAGGAAAGTGACATACATTTTTTATTTTTAGAGGTTTATGCTTTAGGGCATGTGCACTTGCTGGAGAGAGAGACAGAGACAGTAAGTGAGAAATCACCCCCAGAGGGGTTGGCCACGCCACAATCCCTTCTCTTCCATTCTCCTGGGATCGCGGACCCGCATGCACAAGTGCCTGGTATGAGTTTCAAGCCACGGGCTCTAGGACTCAAACTACAGTCAGCTATGTGAGAGTGCAGTGACATAACAGCTCCACCATCAGCTGGCCCCAGTGGCACGCATCTTGTGGGAGGGTGGTACGGAGGAAGGACAATGCCAAGGGCAAAATGCCGAGTCGGGTGCACTGCAATTCAATCAGAGCAAGAAATGTCTTCAGGAGCTGAGCTTCCCAAAAGGGGTGTCTTGTCTCATCCCTTCATATTCTGAGCTACAGGTGCAGGGCCAGCACCCTCCCTGTGCCAGCAATCCTCCTGTTTCCCCTGGCACCACATGGCCATCATTCTCCATGTGCAGCACGACTTGGTAAGGACTGTAAAGTACAGCTCAAGAAGTCACCCTTCCTCTCAAAGAACACAGAGTCCGTGCCTCTGGGTCTGTTCCTTTTGCTAAAGTACAGTCTTCCCTGAATGGACACCTGCCTCCCAACACCCTCTCCAGCCATGTTCTGTCCTAGAAGTCCCGCAGAACAAGAATGTTCCCCTGGCACCCATTATGTAAAGAGAGAACACTTAATAAAGGTCTCTTCTTTTCCAGAACTACTCAGAGCTCTTGTTCCCAAGGTATGGCTTCTGGACTCCTGGTCTCCCACATCAGCAGTCTGACATCCTGGTCACTCTCCTACAGGCTTCTGTGATAATGGCCTCTGGTTCCCAGGCTGCCTCCAGCACCCCACCTCCTGACAACACCACAAGAAGTTTAATCTGAGATGATGAACCATCCAACAGTCTCATGCCCGTATCCATGTCCACACCATTTTGTTCCAAAGACCTCCGCCCCACGATGGCCATCCAGTCCCGGTGCTAGAAGCTGAACCTCGATTTTATCCTCAGTCTCACATTTTTAGAAGTCTGATAGTCACGAGGACATCACACCGCAGGACTCCCAGAGCCCCTGTCCTCTCCCTGCTCCCTATCTTCCATGCAGGGGCCCAGTCCCTGTCTAATGGGCCATACCTTGCTGGCCCCACTGTGCTTTGCTTCCACCGCTGCTCAGCTGAACCATCACCTCACTCTACCCTCAGTTCCCTTTGTATGCTGCCCCCACACTCAAAATGCAAACCCCCAATCCCAGAGGGGTGTTGCAATCTCCCTCCTCAGCTCTAGTACCTAGCTGCCAAAAAGGATGACAAGGGGAGATGGGAGAAAGGAATTAAAAGCATAACGATGAGCAATATGTAGCAAATGACTAGCTTCAGGCACTGCGCTTAATACTCTCCAGGATGACCAGATCCGAGTCTCCCAGTTGCACGAGCCAAAGATCATATTATCATTTTAGTATCAAAGATCAGAAAACTTGACCCCGGTGTGAACTATAGTTGACAGATGCTGTGGGGAAGCTGGGGAGAAGTGCAGAGCTGAGAACAGACTGTTTGCAGATGCCCAGAATCTTCAAACACTCTGCTGGAAGGTAGGAGCTCTCCATGAAGGACAACTCACCTCCCTCCTCTCTTACCGAGGACATCTGTCTATGTGTGGGGACTTTCTTGGTTGTCACCACCTAATGGGGGATCAAGTGCTACTGGCATCAAGTAGGGAGAGGCCAGGGATGGAAACATCTCACAGACCACAGGATAGCACTTCCACACTCCAACAAAGAATCAACCTACCCAAAAGGTAAGTAGCACTGCTGGAAGGAAGGCCTGTTTTAGGAAGAAGGGGTGTGGGAGGGAATATGGGGTGGGGGGAAGCTCAGATCCCTCTGGGTTCTTCTGCTACCTTTTCTTAGTCTAATGTATGCACATCTTAATTCCTGCACCTGTAAATGAAGACACCATCGCTCATCTCTGGATAATATCTCCAAAAGACTCAGGATGAAAAATTGTAAAGCAGATGCAACTGTCACCATTTCAATCATGAATAGGAAACGCCTGCACATAGGAGCCACCACCAGGAAGAGCACAAGGGATGGGGAAAGAACTCGCTGAATCAGGCTGTTTTGAATCGCAAATATTTAAACACGTGGCCTGAGATATCAAACTTAGTCTTGGCTTCAGGGTTCAGGGACTTTTTAAATTGGCCCATTAAATCTAAGCACAAGTGTGTAAATTCTCAAACATTTTACATAGTGCTCCAATTTCTTTAGTTTTATCCAATACACCTGCCACCATGAGTAATCCCTCACATGAAGCTGCAGCAGCAGGGGGCCCTGCTCCTAACAAGCAGAAAAGCAGTGTGTCGTCTAAAACATTCTTGGAAGTTTTGAGGGGGTCCAGATTTTTAATGATGCAGAAGCAAACCATGGTAATGGGGCAGGCTTGGAGTTGGAGTGGGGAAGAGTAGGAGAATACTCCTTGAAAAAGCTGGCTCCCAAAATGGCCAGACCATGATGAGCTTAGATTTTTGACTCTATGAAGTCCAGGTTTATTAAGTGTCTTAAACATTCCTCCCATCTAAGGTGAGTTTACATGTCAGATTCTATGATCGCTGAGCCTTCCTCTCCATACTTAACAGGTACACACGGACCACTTGGCTTTGACGATCAAGTCAAGAAGGAGGGTGGGGTGATATTCTCACTCACCCCTCCAAGCTCCCTCAAACTTTCTCCAACTTGCCCAGTGCTCTGAGAGTCTAACATTTAAGGACAAAGTTAATGAGTCTGATATCTGGTTGAGTTTGGTCTACAGGAGGCACCAGGGGGTCTGACAGGAGGGGTTTCCCCAGCCCTTGTCAGGGACTCTAATGTACTGGTTCTTCCACAATGCCTCTGGCCTCTAATTCCTTCAGGCCCCAGGGTTGTTGCTATTCTTTCCAGGAAGCAACACCCCTTCGCTGGCTCACCATAACCTGGCCTGCACCTAAGGCCCTCCAACCCTGTTGTCCTGGAGTGTGAGATCTTTGTCCTGCTAATACCAGACCAATTCAGGACCCTTCTCAGCACACCAGGACTCTCTGTCCTGGTGGCCAGAAGGAGAGCACAACTGACTTTCGAGCATTCATAGACAGCCTGCTGATCCCTAGAATGGGACCAATGTAACAAATTTGAGAGTTTAGAAACTTAATTTGTACATTTTAAAGACCGTTGCAAGATTCTAAGAGTCTCAGTCCACACACGTTCTTTGTCAGGGTACCCTTAAGGTTCCTCTTCCTTCCTTCAATCTCAGACACCGTGCTCAGCATACCCAGAGTCCCTGCAAGCTGCACCTGAAGATGCAGACAAGGGGGTGACCCCGGTGTGAACTATAGTTGACTGCTGACACCAATGAGGTCAAGGGGGACTTTTCCTTGAAAGCCTGCAGGGAGGACTCAGGCCACTGAACATTTCTGGAGCTGCCTTTGTGCCTGACACTACACTGAGCTTGGATGAAGGGAAGGTCGATGAGACAGTCTCCACCTCCTCAGGGTCAAGCACAGAAAACAAGCCACAGCTAACCAGGTAATGCCACCAGAGACTGAGAAGACGCCTACACAGACAAAGTTGGTGTCTGCATCCCTGAGCGGCCATAATGTCCCCGACCGACAGGGTACAGGGAGAACTTCTGGAAGGAGAGGGCATTTCAGGGACCAGACCAGAGCAATTTGTCACCCATGACGTTGAGGGCCAGCGAGGGTGTATGACTCTGTGTACATCAGTCTCCATCAAACCTGAAAGAAAGTTCCCTGACCTCTGCTGAACTACAGGAAAAATTCCCCAAGGGTATTTTCCCATATATAGTGGCAGCCAAGGCATAATCATTGTCTCCAAAGAAATTCTGGCCAAACTGAGGAATCACAGGCACGCTGTGGCCCTGGCGAAGTCATCGACACAGCCCAGCCCTGCTTCCCTCAGCACCGCCATCGGCACAGGACTCTCCCTTCACAGCACTCTGCCTGGGGCACAATTCAGTTAAAGCATCACCCATTAGGAGTAGGGGGAACCCCTTTATACATGGACATGGATGTGCTATGAAAAGGAAGGCTTGGCCCAGATTCTGGACTGCAGCTGCAGATTTGGGGATGTCCTCCCGGAGGACAGAGGCTGTGGGGCAGCTGGGGAGAAGTGCAGAGCTGAGAACAGACTGGCAGCAGGGAGGGTCAGAGCCAGGGTGAGAGAGTGGCAAAAGCCCCTTCTCAAGAGGGGCATGAGCCGTAACGCTCTAAGCTAAGCAGGTGTATGACTCTGGGGGAAAAACAAAACAAACAAACAAAAAAAACAAAGTTCCTGAGCCTCTCTAGTGTCACCTATAGAACGGAGACAGGAACAGTTATCCTATCGGGTTGCGCAAGAAT